TCAAGGAACGTTTCGAAAGCATTTATCATTAACCGTAGCTTTTAATCACTGACCGTGGTTGTGCACAAGTACGTTACTTCCGGTAACTAAGATGATTTTTCAGTGACGGAGCTTAAAATGCTTAACAGGAGCAATGCGAGGTTCCAGATATCTTGTAAGTTATGTTAATTTTGTGGCGAAACACGCATGACAGCGGTCAATCAAGCCCTCTCGCATCTGCATAAAACAATCAAGGAGTTCACTTGAATTCACATGACTAATTCACGTGACAAAACTGAGACCAGTAAGGGTTCATTGCGATACAGTCGAAAGCTACAACTGTAAAGCATCTGAGACCTTTTGAGACTATAATTTATTTTTCAAATAAATAATTCCTTGTCTAACTGAGTACGAGGCAGCGTGGCCGGACTTCGGAGGCCCCGACAAGCCCCGCTCTGAGCGCTAGCTGGATTTGTTCACGGTAGTCTAGAGTTCAAATTCCTCGGCCACGTTTGTAAATAGCCAGCTGGTTTGCCTCCGGCCAGTTGGGATTCTTAACCCTGTTAAGTTCAATTTGAATTATTTGTTTCAGGCATTTGCTCGGCCCCACTAGCATTAGTGCTATAAATACTGCCGAGAGTAAATAACGGAATTATTACGTCTTGCGTGGAACAGAAGAACAACATATTTTTGGTTAATTCTAATTAAGGGAAATTATTCTTCAGACACATATGGCTGTTCTCCTAACCCATGTGCAAATAATGGAACGTGCACAGGTGCACCAAACAACTATACCTGCGAATGCGCTCCAGGCTTTGAAGAGGGGAATTGTACCAAAAATAAGTTCTTTATAATGAAATGTAAATGTCCATGTTTTTTGAGTCAACTAATAGCTTAACCAAAAGGGAAAAATGGACAGAGAGGAAATCTTAGGGCGTTGGTCGGGACATGTGAATTTCACTAAAGTTATTTTTGGAGGATGTGGTTAAACAGAAGTCTAATTCCTAAGACGTCGGCACAATCGATTACTTAAAACGTCATTAAGTGCACGCGCGACTGCCTCAAAAGCAAACAATGCAGAATATTGTAATGATGATTGTTGAAAACTCTTTTGACTGGTTTAGGAACTACTTATCAGGAAGAAAACAAATTGTTAAATTCAAATTAACCAGTTCAGATTACTTAACAATTAAGTGTGGTGTGCCATAAGGCTCTGTTCTAGGACCGCTCTTGTTTTTTAGATATGTCAATGATATGAGCTATGAGATATTTAACAGTTAATGAATGAGGCTGAGTATCTTATGAAGAATTATGGACATCGAGGAGGGTGTTGGCCAGGCGGATAACACGAGATCTCCATAATTCTTCATATGATACGAAAGCCGAATTCAATAATTGTTTTATTATTCATTCAAAATAATTCCTAGTTTAAAAACATGGCTAAACATGCTTACCTCCATCGAACCATCGATGTTAAGTTCATCTTCGATAGTGCACGTTTAGGGTTGTTCAGCTCCGCAAATATTCTCCAAATAGCAAATGTCGTCCTTCGAGTTGTCTTCTTGCTGTGCTTGCCATGTTTTTAGCTATTTTTCCGCCTAGTTCTTACTCTTGAAACGAGAGAAAAATGTCCGCCACTTTTCAAGGTCACAACCAAAACAACTCAACCTCGTCCCCAGGTCTTCTCGGTTAACGGTGCATTAACCTGTAGAAGGCTGCATTTTTGACGTCATTTCCTCGTTAAACACAAAATTCTTCCAAATTTGGTCATCAGTAACTGGTTATGATGAATAATGCGTGTGCTTTTAGCCAATCAGAATTGGGGAAATATTTTGAATGAATAATAATACTGAATTAACGACGCTGGGAATTAACTGACGGAAACTTATCGCCAGATAAGATTTCCATGGCTAACTGTGGACATGACTTGAATTATTTCACTTTTTTAGTTCAAGTCCAAGCACGCCAACAAACAGTACAGAATTTTCCTTTGTCTATAAGAGGCCTCAAGGTCGAAGCCTCCTGCACAGACGTTTCGGGTTTCGTCACGCGTTGGGCGGGACGCTGTCAATGGCGAAGCTAACTTTAAAATGCAGCTCGAAATTGTGTAAAAATACTTTAGGAGACAGTGTTTTTGTATCTCAGAAACAACGTGGCTATATTTTCCACTTTACCCCAAACCACTAGCATTACATTACTTAAAACCCTTTGAAAGATCCACTCCGCAGAGTTTGCGTGCTGGCTTTGTATTCTTTATATTTAGGCTGTCGATACATTTGGCTGCTGCTGCATGCTCCATTATCGCGAGAATTTGAAAATCAATGCCAATGTTTCAAATCCCAATTTCTCCCTCAGTAAAACGGCCTTAACCCAGGGCACTGATTAACAGAGAAAAGCTTCACCTTATGTGGTAAAGCTGTCCATGTGTCAAAGGTCATTTTTGCGGAAAAGAAAGCCTTCTAGACTGTTCACAGTCCCCTATTTTTCCTTAAGATCATCGAGATCGAGCGCTTTGCGGAACCGGCGACCATCTTGGTCTTAAATGTTCCAAGTCTAGCCTGGGGATGAGTGTCAATTCTACTTAAGAGGCGGGGGACACACTGCTATAAACCGAGACGCCCTCCCTCTCGGTACATATGATAGTCGCCCCTACCGGTAAGCGCTCGACTCGGACGATCTTACTTACTCTACTCACTTAATAGGTGACTGTGAACAGTCTAAAAGCCTTCAGACACCTTTTGCGAAAAATTTAAAGAATTTTAAAATAAAAGTACAAACAAAGTAAAAGGTGCAAACATATGAAAGCCGGCAAACATCAAAGATGAAAACAGCGGTGCTGCAATTTTTGTTGGAAGCTCCCTGACAGTGCACTATGCTTTGTCTTTGTTCACAAATTGTGACTGATTTGCTTGATTTTCACGTGACGTCACGGCGACTATGCTGGTCGTCAAGAACAAAAGCAAAAGCATTTCGCTCCTCTTCGAACTAAACTCTATTTTCATATAAATTCTCGGAGAAAAAATTCTATTGTGTTAACCCCCAACATGGCCGCCTTGTCACGTGGTTGCAAACCAAGAAAAAATTATGTAATATTTCCAAATGTTTGAAGCTCAGCATTTAGAAATCATCAATAAAGACATTTTTGACCCTTGGAATGTAGATCTTTTTTAGACAATCAAAGGGAATAAAAGGAGGGTAGTCAAGAGTTACTGATTTATGCCAGCTTCTCGAACATGAGAACATGACATCGGAATGGCCCAGCACAGCATCATGCGAGCGTCAGTGATCGTGTTTCTGATAACTGGATCATTTCTTTGCCAGAGTAAGTCATATTTTGCTATCTACTCAATATCGTTCTGCTTTAAGTTTCATAATCAGACTCAAGGTCTCTATTTCAAAACGTTTCTGCCTCAGCTCACACTCCGCTGTCGTGAAGGCAGATCTTGTCCTCGACGACACCGAGGTTGAACAAAAGCCAGGAACTCAAAAACCAGTCGAAAACGTTTGGGAAGGTAACCTTCCTCTTGGGTAACTTTCTAGAGGGTGAGTTGGGAAGGGCTTCGAAACCCGGTGTCCCCAATATTATCACTCGGTAGTTGACCAGGTCCTTAGCTACTGGCCAATGGTCTCAAGTGCTGGCCTTCTATAGTTCAACCACAAAGCAGGTATACTATATCGACATTTTAAACAATTATCCGTGTATAAAATAACATTTACTTTCCTTATCAACAACGACACTTGGTGTTGTGTATATAACTCAATGTTTATGCAAATGTTCGATTAAGATGCTAGCCACTTTATGTTTAATTGTCCGAATACCCAGGAGCTACAAAATCCGTTCGTTCATGTCGCCTGTTTTGTCTCTGAATTTAATAAAATCAGAAGTAACTTAAATTCAGTGAAAAGTATGAGCCCATAGAGAGCACCTCTCGAGATAGAATTTTAATAATTACTTTCAATTGGGCTTAATATTCTCGAAAACTCGCGGGTGGTAATAATGCCTTTAGGCACTTTCTAGATAAACGTGAATGAATCCTTAAAGACAAATTATAAACTGGGTGCCCAAATGTTAAGGTATTAATTTGTTAAATCTCAGACTACAGTTAGTTATATTAGGAGTTCTTAAAGACTCCACAATGATATGGAACAACAGTACGCTCTCACTCAGTGAGTCTTAATTTCCGTGAACATTTCACTTCCATCGGAACCTATATTTAGGACACTACAGTTATAATTTAAGGACTTTATATTATTAGTTGCCTTTCATGCAGCACTGATTGTCTCTTTAACCCTCTCTAGTAAATGTTTATATAACGCTATGAGTTACATACAAAGCTTCCTTTACAACATTGACAACCATTTACTACTTAGAAATTGTATCTCGCTTTTAATTTCAGTATCTAAATTATTGTTTTACTTATACCCTATCAAGTATAGAACAATTTTCCTTAACATTTATCAATAGGTAATGAGTAGAATAGCTGGGGTCCAAAGAAATATGAACAACAGAATTGTTTGTTTCGTAACAGACAAAATTGCACTGATGCCAAACCTTCCTGATATACACTAGAAACGTTATAAGCAAAGTGTCGTACTAAACGAACAAGAATGTTTTTTTTTTAAACTTCGCTTCTTTCTCTTTCAAGAAACATAGTTATATTTCCGGCCCTTAAAAACCTAATCAAGGAAATATGCCGCCATGGCAGACACCGGCTTCTTAGAACTTGTGGTTTCGGTTAAGCAGTAACCGTTAGTAATTCAAAAATTCTCAACTTTTCTTCAGCACCCACTTAGGTATCGTTTTCTTTAGTGATTTTCTCGTTAGTGGTTTTTCAGTCTCAACGTATTTACACTAAAAGGGAAAATTCGAGCCTCATGTGAGTTCCCTAAAGAAGGGAGCGTATACAATCATCCAGGGGGGGAGCGGGGTACACCATCACATCTCAATATCAAGTATTTAGTCAAGCCAGTTTCTTTGTTCATTAGAATGACATGCCAAAATTGCTTTTCAAAAAACAGGTTCAGCGACAACAACAGATGCAATTACCTCTAGCTTGCCTACCAGAGTATTCAGCAGTGCCTTGGCCTCCACCTCTACCAGCAAGGTGCCCAAAGACACGACTTCAAGCGCTGTTCATGTGTCAACCTATGTCGCGACTGGTGTCTTCATCTCTACCCTAGCTAGTGTCACAGCAAGTAAATCGACTTCAGCCTCTACCAGCGTGTCAACCACTGTGTCTACAAGTGTCTACAACATTTCCTCTGCTAACTTTCCAATCAGTGTTTCTGGAACTGCCTCGCTCTTAACCCAGGCAATTGCCTTATCCAGTAAGTCGACCTCTACCGCTGCTAACTTGTTAAGCAAAGTGTTGCCAACAGTCTCGCCCTATAAATAACTTCGGTCACAAAATTTATTTATTTGTTTGCCGTCAACTTTTACGCATGGTTTTATATGTTACCCAGATTCATGTAATGAATCTGAAAATCTTAGTAAGTTCGTCTGATAAGACGGCAAAATGAAACAACTTGGAGCTTGAAGTACACCAGATACAGGTTAAGGTTAGCTTTTTTAAAGAATGATTCTACATATCAAGGCTACCAGTGCTAGCGTTGTAAACGAAAACCTAAAGTCAGATGTTGGTGTTGACTGATCTGTGGGATGGCGTTATTTTATGTTGTCTGAAACACGATTTTCAAATGATTTATGAAAAGCTCGAAGTGATTTCCCCAAAATAATTTTGACATAACATAAAAGTGTGATGCTCTTAGTGTTTTCCCTTTCAATCTTAAAAAATTCTGATCAAAGACACATGATGAAAATCGTCGCTTTTTTCAACTACCTCTCGAGATAAACAGGTAGCCGTACGCTTTAGCTTTTTTATAATTACTCAAACTGTTGTGATATACTGAAAATATTACATATTTTGGTCAACGACAAGTTATACTTGAAATGTTAGCAAGATGCTCTTTTTCTAGCGCGGTTGTTTTGAAACGCGAGTCAAGCGAATCATAGTAAATTTCAACCCTGTTTTTGCCTTGCAAAATCGACGGCGGGCCGTGAAACGGTTTTCCGAAACGAACGGATCTTTCGAAGAAAAAACTACATAGCGTTTATACACTTACTTAAGTCTACCAGTATGCAAAAGAAGAGCGATTTTGATTTTTTGAGCTTTGCCGCACTTTGGTTGATATTTGCATGGAGTTGCTCTTAACCAGTGTGTCGGCAGGTGTCTTCGCCTCCAGACCGACTAGTGTTTCGCAGAAAAACTCGAACTCTCCCTCTCCTGACTTGTCAGTAAGTGTGACACCAAAAGTCCCGGTATTAACACCCACCAGTTTGACGAACAGCAACTCAAACTCTACCTCTGTCAACTTGTCAACCAGTGCGTCGCCAAGTGACTCGACTTCTGCAATTATCTTGAGCACTTCATCGATCATTTTACTGCCCAGTAAACTGACCTCTACATCAGTTAACCTGACAACCAGAGCGTCACTAAGTGTCTCGGCCTCTATCCCGCCCAGTGTCCTGCCCAATAACTCCGCCTTTCCTCTACTACGTTGTCAAACAGTGGGGGGTCCTTAAGTTTTCTGCCCCTCACTCCAACTAGAGTGAGCTCCAGTAACTCCACCTCTACCACAGCTAACTTGTCATCCATGTTATCGCCTAGTGTTTCGGCCGCCACATCGATTAGTTGGACGCCCAGTAACAAGACCTCACCTTCTGCTTATATGTCAAACACCGAGTCCTCGAATGTCTCGGTAGTTATACCTTCTGGTTTCATACCCAGCAACCCGACATCTCCCTCTACTAACTTGCTAACCAGTGCGCTGGGCTACCAAGTGTCTTTTTAACGACGCCGACCAGTCTGACGAAAAGCAACTCAAACTCTACCTCTGTTAACTTGTCAATCAGTGCGTCGCCATGTGACTCGACTTCTACAGTTATTTTGCGCATTTCATCGATCAGTGTACTGCCCAGTAACCCGACCTCTACATCAATTAACTTGACTACCAGGGCCTCACCAAGTGTCTCGGCCTATATCCCGCCCATTTTCCTGCCCAATAACTCCACCTCTTCCTCTACGGCTACCAACGGTCTCGGCAACGACGCTGACCAGTCTGACGAACAGCAACTTAAACTATCCCTTTGCCAACTTGTCAACTAAAGCATTAGCAAGTGTCTCGGCCTCCGCGTTGTCCAAATTGACGCAAAGTAACTTGACCTGTACCTCGACTTAATTATCAACCAGTGTGTCGCTAAATGTTTGGACCGCGTTTGACTCCCGGTTATTCGACCAGAGTTTCAAACATTACCCAACCTGTGTGACGCGCAGTCTGTCAAACACAACCTCTAACTTGTCAAACAGTGCTTCTTCAAGTGTCTTTCCCCAGTGTAATGCCCAATACCTCCACCTCCACCTCTACTGACTTGTCAACCAATGCGTTACCAAGTGTATCTTCGTTTAAATCCACTAGAGTGACTACCAGTAACTCCACTGCTCCTTTTGCTAACATGCTTTGGCAAGTGTCTTGGCCTTTACGCCGACTAATTAGACACTGAGAAGCCCAAACTTTAGTTCAGCTGATTTTTTAACCANTCCCCAGTGTAATGCCCAATACCTCCACCTCCACCTCTACTGACTTGTCAACCAATGCGTTACCAAGTGTATCTTCGTTTAAATCCACTAGAGTGACTACCAGTAACTCCACTGCTCCTTTTGCTAACATGCTTTGGCAAGTGTCTTGGCCTTTACGCCGACTAATTAGACACTGAGAAGCCCAAACTTTAGTTCAGCTGATTTTTTAACCAGTGGGTCACTGAGGTTCTCAACTTCAACCCCGACAAGTTTCACGACAGGTTTGGCGAACGACAACTCGACCCTTTAAATATGCTAACTTTTCAACCAGTGCTTTGCAAAATGTCTCTGCCTTTACTCTGGCCATTGTGACACCTAGTAACTCGACCTACACCTCAGCTTACTTGTCACTCAGTGCGTCATCAAGTGTCTGGCATCTGCCCTGCAGCCTTTGACAAGCACCACCTCTACCTCTATATCTGCAATCTATTCCACCACTGGTTTTCGAGGAACCTCGTCCCGATTAGAGAAACACCCAAAAACTCAACCTTTGTCGCAGCAACGCCCCCCCCAGTGTTTTTTTTTAGTGTATTGGTCTTAGTGTCACGCAAAGTAATTTGACTTTTTTTTGTCTGCTAGCTTGTCAAACATTGCGTCACGAAATATCTCGGCATCAAGCGCTACCAATGTCTTGATCTTTATATCAGCCAGATTGACGCCTTGGAGTAATGTAAAATCGTCTTTCAAGGTTTCTTAAAAATCATAACATTCTCTCTGTCAATCAGTATGGTTTTCGCAAGCATCACTCCACTGCTTATGCTCTAGCTTGTTTATATGATATTTCAAAATTAGAGCATCATGGTGTTCTAGGCACTGCACTTAGATGGTTCAAAAGCTATCTAAGCAATGGACAACAATATGTGGAATTTAATGGTATCAGTTCAGAGACTTGCGAAATAAAGTGTGGGGTGTCTCAGGGCTCTATACTAGGCCCCTGCTCTTTCTGCTCGGTATACATGATCTGTGCAATGTGTCAATGCGACGCTCAGGAATGTATCAAAGTTTACATTTTTGGGACAAGATTGGGCACGCTGAGTCTGTAGGCTTTCGGTTTTATTCGGCTATTTCACGAAGTGAGAGCCGAATTAGTTCGAGCTATCTCGAGATCACTTCGTTTTCTTTGATATATTCTTTAACTTATTCGAGGAAGAGAGAATTAGTATTTTGGCTTTCCCGGGGTTTGAACCCACTCACCTGTGTGCCGATTGCGCTACTGCGACCCAACGTAGTTCGGGATTTGAAAAATAGCCATGAAATTATGCACTAGTTGGGCGCGCAAGTTCGTGACTTTTCGGCTTGTTTCGGCTATTTCACGAAATGAGACCGGACTGCTTCGTGATATCTTGAGATCACTTCGAGTTATTCGAGGAATAAATAGAGGATATTACATGGCTGCGCAGAGACACGAAATTTCTCTTCGAGTGTTGAAAAACATTTCACGAGTGAGTGCTCCTTTCGAACTGTTTTATGATGAATTTAAGGTTACAATATGCTGCAAAAAGACGTTTTGTCTTTGTTGAGTTGGAAAATTGTTACGTTGGAAAATTGCTTTCATGCGTTGTGTGACTTTCTCGAACGTTCTTTACGTTTTTGGATTATTCAAGAATAATTAATTAGGGTATGTTTACAATTCAGCACGAGTCAGTAGATTTGCTTCAGTTACTGAAATCATAAAATATGTCGAAAAGCTACTACTATTGGCCTGTTTAAAATTTCTAGAACCTTATGTCAAACGGTATACAAGTTCCAAGCGAGTTCTTTTGACGAACTAAGTTTTTTTCCACGAGCTGGAGTGCTATGTTCAGTCAAGGGTGACGAAGGTCGATTTTCAAGTTCTGTGTTTACAAGTTGGCGGAAGCCGTAAGATATCTGAAGTTCAAGTGAGAGTTTGTTATTATTGGCAGAGGCTGTTTAGTTGTACTTAAGTTCAAGTCAAGTTTGTGTTGGTGGATGCTGTGTTTTAAAGCTCTGTAAAGACTATGTTTTTTGGGTATTAAGAGCAATTGTCTGTAAGAATCAAGCAAAGTGGAAAATGAAAAATTTTGACCCCCCCCCCCCCTCAAATTTTGCATGCAATTAGATATTGTTGGGGGATGTCTACAGAAGTCATACACAAGTCCTTAGCAAGCCAAGCCACATTTTATAAACACGCACGCTTCCACTTTGTATTTACGGCGTATTTCTTCATTAGATGTCATCAGTCGCTCCAGAGAGAGTTAAACCTCATTAGTTTTTGGTCATTAAGCCAAGCATTGGAATTATCTACGTATTAAAATCCAAAATCTCAAGTCCAGAAGCTCAGAAAGCTGAACTAGTAGTCACTCGTGGACATCCCCGTGAACATGCAACCTCCCCTGGTCAGCGGTGTTAATCGATGCAACATAAACAATTTCCGTGAATTTCCTGTCATTTCTGGTAAGATTCTTTTTCCTCACTTCCCGGAGATAACGGGGAAAAAGGATTGCCTGATCGAAGGTTACATCTGCCTTGCTTAGAGGGTCAAACGAAATTATTCTTTCTCAGTGAATGTAATCGTGATTTTTCTACCTATCTGCAAACTTACGGGCTCAGCAAATTTCGGAAAGGTATTTAATACCGATGGAGTTAACTTCCTACCGTCTGCCATGCAGTTAAGTTCATTTTATTTTCTTCACTCTTCTGTTAAGTACTAGGGGGAATAGCACCAAGTGTCTCCTATGGCGGCTCACCATAGGATTTGAAGCATGTTGTACTAACACAAATTCGTAACTTGTACTTTGAAATACAGTAATTAGAAAATCTGGAACACCGGAATGTTGGGAACATGGACTTGACATATTTAAACATGGGAGAACGCTTAAAAAAAAAAAAAAAGAATTCGGCTGTCGGATACGTACATACATACATGCATACTAGTTTACTGTGGAATTACACTTAGCCAAAAGCAAGACACGTCACTTTTTCCTGGCCCTTGAATATTATGATTACATGAGGAGCATATTGTTTTGTAAGAGATTCCGTACCTTCTTTTGGAGTTTTCGATTTTACACTTGTCGACGCAAATAGCTGCAGAATTTGTTGTCTCCCGACACGACAGACTGTCCCTGGGTTCTGGTTAAAAAAAAAACTTTAAGCCTATACCTGTACTTCAAGTCTCTAGCTTTTGATATTCGGTATTAGGTGAATGAATTTAATTATTACAAGTGACGTTAAATTATCAATATGAGTAAACATTGTGCTGAAATTATATTGCGCTTATACATTCTGTTGCCTTTTTATTCGTCTTATTATTCTACAATAGTTATATTTCGCCTGCGTGGCCGGCGTAGAAAGGGGTTGAGGCGGGGGTAGGAATTTATGTAAGCGTGATCCAATAGAAACTCCGTGCAGGCTAAGCTACATATCCTAACTTGAGAGAAAGTCTTGGGGTCAGCATTCAAATGAAAAGCGGGGAAAGGTGGGAATGTACTTGCAATAAAGTGGCCAAACTACATGTACTTGCAAGAAGACAAGTCGTCTAAGTAAAGTGTCATTTCGCAAAAGGCTTTGTGAACTATTTACAACCCAAATAATGACTCAAAAGGAATAGCGATCTACTGGCAGATGGAACCTCTAACGAAGAGTGCAGACGAAATTAATGTTGCTAGCAATACACAAGCTGAGAAATTACAGGTTCTCAAATAACTTCTAGTCTAAGTTCCCTAAATTTCGTTGTTCCAAATTTTTGTTTTCCCCTTAGTACTTTACAAAAGAGAGAAGAAAAAAAAAAGAACTTTAGGAAGTCAACTTCTTCATCGGTAATACCTTTCCAAAATTTGATGAGCCCGTAATTTTGCAGATAGGTAGAAACATCACGATTACTTTCACCAAGAAGCATAATTTCGTTTCACTCTCTGAGCAAGGTAGGGATGTAAACTTCGATCAGGCCTTCCTTTTTCCCATCTTCGGGAGGGGAAGGGAAAAGGATTTTATTTCTTCCGGAAATATGTTTGTTTACGCTGACCAGGAGAGGTTGCATGTTCACGGGATGTCAACGCGTGTCTACTTCAGCTTTCTAAGCTTTTGGACTCAAAGTTTCGTATTTTATTAAATAGGTATGTAATTCCGATTTTTGGCTTAATGACTAAAACCTAATGAGGTTTAACACTCTCTGGAGCGACTGATGGAATCTAAGGAAAAAATACGCCGTAAATGCAAAGTGGAAGCGTGCGTGTTTACAAGATGTGGCTTGGCTTGCTAAGGACTTGTGTGTGACTTCTGTATCGGCTTCTGTATCACTTTATAACTTGTTGTAAGTGACTGAGTAGACTAACAATGCTTTACAATGGGAAACAGCACAACCGGGCACATGGCAATGGTTCGAGAAACCGAGTGATCGTTGAATATAAATGCTACGCTACAAGCGGTGCATTCTTAGACATCCCCCCACAGTATCTAATTGCATGCAAAATTTGAGGGGGGATTAAAATTTTTCATTTCCCATTTTGTTTGATTCTTGCAGAGAATTGCTCTTAATCTCCCTTGTGTTAATCCGATATCCCTGCGTGCTGAATAATTATCCTCAAAACATTCGAACTCGAACATTGAGTTTTAGCCAATTCCATAATTGACTCCTTACCCATGCCTTACATATCTTTAATCAGTACATGAGACTGCTATGCTGTCTAAGGAGACAAACACTTGATATTTCTATTCAAATTGACAGCAATGTTATTGAACGTGTGAAGGAAACAGCACTTTTAGGTGTTATCCTCAATGAGCATTTGTCATGGAAGCCTCACATTCTTAGCGATTCTAGAAAAATATCAAAATCAATAGGCATTAATTAAGCTTACGCTCTTTGTACTATACGTCTAGTTTATCCTTACTTAATTTATTGTGTATCAGTATGGGGATCAACATATCAAGGTAATTTAAGTCGGATTATTATTCTGCAATAAAAGACAATCAGAACAATATCTAAAGTTTCTTTTGATTCTCATACTGGTGTTCTAAAAAATTCTCGGACATTAATTTATACCAGAAAGGTAAAGTTATGTATCTTTTTAAAAGAGGTTTACTTCTTAATTATTTGCGTGATATGTTTACTCTTGGAAGCAAGATCCATTCCTATAATACAAGAAATTCCAGCCCTTTTTATATACCTCATTGTCGAGCTAATTTTTCAAAAATTCTCAATTTGGTTTCAAGGTCCTAAGTTTTTCAACTCGCTAAGGCCTGGTTCAGATGCCTGACTTTTCATGAGCCGAAGCTAGTTCGAATTAAGGCTGAGGCAAATTATTTAGACCTGATGAATTGATTCAGGTGCCGATCTTAATTGCAGCTGAACGAAAATTGCTCATTTCGGTCAAACTGCCTGCAAAATACGTTATAATAATTTATGCATAATTAAGTTCGGCGTCTGAAGCAAAGCCGTTCCAAAGGCGCCCCAAATGCGAAATTCCCGGCTGGGCTAGGCGAAAAGAACGGCTGAGCTGTTCCAAATTGAAACAGGTGTTCCTAATTGATTCAGACGCCGAACTTTTCATGTACTTAATACAATGTATTAGGTTCGGCTCGTAAAAAGTTCAGCGTCTGAACCGAGCCTAAGTCGTAAAATTCAAAACAGTACAAGTATCAGTTTGTTTAGCAAAAGACTTTTAAAAAGTCCCTTCTTTCGTAGTCAAATATGCTCTTTGTTGACCTATAAATTGTACATATTTTTAGGAATTTTAGATTCTTAAGTCTTAATTATGATAATTTTACTTTATTTTAATTAGCTTTGTTTTAGTGTCCCCAATTAGTACTGTAATGTAGTAGAATTTTATGACACTTAAATAAAGGTTTCATCATCATCATCATCATATAACTTTTCTTTTACTTTGTTCCTTTTTCATTTTTCCTTTTCTTTTCTTTTCTTCACTTTTAAAAGATTAATCCATTTTTCATTCAGTACCCTTCACTCACATGGTTTACCCTATAGTTCCAGGAAGCCTATAGTTTATAAGCCCCCGGCTTCTATATAGGCTTCCTTCTCATTACCACTTAAAACATTTAATTTTGTTAATAATTTTAGTTAAAAAAGTGTATATTACCTTTAATGTATTATAAATTTCTTGTTAATTGTTGTTGTATTTATATGCGGTTAATAATGGCACAAATAAACGAATGAATGAATGAACTCTACTTCGGCTAACCTGACATCAAGTACCTCGCCAATTTGAATCTTGTGTAGTTATGTTTTCAGATATTTATTTGTTGTCAATCTTTACCATGTCCTTCTCTCCTCAGACACTAATGACTGTTATCCAAACCCGTGTCTGAACAACGGAACATGTACAGACGGACTGAATAACTACACCTGCACTTGCGTGCCTGGCTTTGTAGGGAAGAATTGCTCAAATAGTAAGTCTTTTAACATCAAGTCTTAGTATTGAGATTTTCGGATTCAGTCTGAAAAGTGAATGGTAATATTATTTCAAGTGAATCGGCGCACGACCTCGCTCGTTCCTTTTGGAAAAGTCATTTTAAATAACTTACAGATATGAAGTTTCCTTACCTCCTTTAAAACTTAAATACTTAAATACAACCATCCCTCTTGATCTTACAAAGGAAAAGGGAAAACAATACATAATTATGCCTCGGTTATTACTAATTTGGGCAAGATTACTTTTAACAGAATTTTCCTTCTGGGGTGCCCTTGTGGAATAAAACTGAATGCCCTCAATTAATGTGCAATGTGAATCTTGTATAGTTACTTTTCCATGTAGATATGGATATTTTATTGTGGTCAATCATTACGATGTCCTTCTCTCCTCAGACACTGGTAACTGTTATCCAAACCCGTGTCTGATCCCCGGGGGGGGGGTACTGCCATATATGGGCTATATAGGTATGTGCCGCTGTGAAGGGTATGGTTTTCAAGCAGTTTACTCTAGGATAGGGTATATAAATCAGAGCGTTTGGCTCCAGAATAGGGTATCATTTTTCAGGAAACTGATAAGTTGGTTGAAGATTTTATCTAGACTAGGTACACAGCTACTCTAGGATAGGGGGATTTGGGGAGTTTACTCTAGTATAGGGTAGCAAAATTCAGCTGAACTAGCTCTGGTAAAGGTTAAGGGTTCCAGGCTCCCAGCGGCACATCCCCACCCAGAAATTCCTAAAGTGCCCCCCCAGGGGTCTGATCTAACCCTTTACGACCTGAATTTATTTTTTGCACATTTTAAGATCTAAGGCCGGTATTGTTAAATGCACTGCATCTTCCTTGAAATTTAAGGTATCAACATAAACTTTGGATATCTGGTAGACAAGACTTTGGGCTATCTGCCAAGCCACTTTTTATTCATAAGTAACTAATAAATAATAATTAACAGGTTGTTAAATATTAAGTTCATGTCACGCAACAAGTTCACCTTAATTGTTTTCAGTGTACTGAACTTTCAATTTGGTCATGAAAATTACTGCAGGAGTTTAAATCTAAAGCAAATTTACTGAGGATTATTTTCATACCACATTTGCCTACCTTTGATACTATCAAGGTTATATTCTGTCCAAAAAATACAGCATGGTTGGGTGTTACACCTTCGTAGGCCCAACCTTATTAATTGAAACTGAGAACTTCTGGATCGCTTTCTAGAAGCTAAACATAAACATACAAACAAATGTTTTGTGGCCTTCCAGGATGAAAAAAATCTTAATCACTGTTGAAATCATCAACGTGTATGTCCCGAAGACTGAGTCTTTCCTCTTCTTTTTCTCCCTGGTTTGAAAAAATTTCATTACTCCGTCCTTGCTATCTTCTTCGTGAACGCTAGTTTCCATATCTCAAACCNAAGCAAATTTACTGAGGATTATTTTCATACCACATTTGCCTACCTTTGATACTATCAAGGTTATATTCTGTCCAAAAAATACAGCATGGTTGGGTGTTACACCTTCGTAGGCCCAACCTTATTAATTGAAACTGAGAACTTCTGGATCGCTTTCTAGAAGCTAAACATAAACATACAAACAAATGTTTTGTGGCCTTCCAGGATGAAAAAAATCTTAATCACTGTTGAAATCATCAACGTGTATGTCCCGAAGACTGAGTCTTTCCTCTTCTTTTTCTCCCTGGTTTGAAAAAATTTCATTACTCCGTCCTTGCTATCTTCTTCGTGAACGCTAGTTTCCATATCTCAAACCACCCGTGGATACCTTGTGATGCCTACACAAAGTAATTGCATATATGTATACATATATGAGTGAGCCCTGACTATAGTGATTAGTGTTAAGCACTAACAATACTGATTAGGGTTAAGCTCTGAAAATACTGATTAGGGTTAAGCACTTAGAATAGTTATTAGGGTTAACGGTTAGCTTTTATTTAGGGTTAGGGCTTTCACTTCAGTAGTTAAATTACTCCCAGACCCTGCAGTGAATCCTCGGTGGTCTAGTGGTTAGGGCATGAGACTACTGATTTAGCACTCCGGGATCGATACCTGCTCTTGACTTGAAAATTTGTTTTTCCTTTAAAATTGAAGGGACTTGCACTTTGACGACATTTGTTGAGCAGAAACTAAGTCTCTGAGTCAGGAAACTTAGAAATTTCATGTAAGTGTGAGTGAAAAGGGAGAGGGCGGTTTTTGAGATATGGAAACAAGTGCTACCCTTCGGTCTTCATATCAAAGCCTTTGATATCCGAAACATGCCACGATCGGGTATCTCGAAGTTTTAATCCAAAATAATCCAAAAAATCGTTCAAATTATAACGTGTCCTATGCTCAGAAATGTTGCAGAACTAAAATTAATCTTACTCTTGCTGTAACAAATCGAAAATGTCGCAGAAACTGGTTCAAAACAACTCAAAATGGCGAACAAAAGAATCCACTAGGCGTTGCAA